AGCTGAAACATCTAAATCAATGAAGTCTATTAAATCGAGCATTGTCTTTTTTTTGAGAGTTTTTTTTTTGTTTGTTTGTTTGTTTGTTTGTTTGTTTGCTATAGGGCGCATGCACTCAGCAGACAGACAGAGAGAGACAGAGAGACAGAAAGCGAGAAATCACCCCCCAGGGGGGATGGCCACGCCGCAATCCCTTCTCCTCCACTCTCCTCTTGGGATCTTGGGCACATACACACACACGCCTGGCGTGAGTTTTTAAGCCACCGGGTCCGGGACGCGAACCGCAGTCGACTACATGGGAGTCCAGCGACATAGCCATTATGCTAACTGCTGGTCCCGAGCATTGTCTTAATATCTACTTGTTTCCAGGTTGACACTGGAGATGCAGAAATGAATCAGAACTAGACTCTGACCCAAGAAGAATCCCAAGGCAGGTAGGAAGTCATCCAAGACATAGGGAAAAAAAAAAAATCAATGCAGTAAGAGAGGAAACTGTGGAGAGGAGGATTCAGGAACTGTTCCTGAGGGGATTCCGTAAGAGGACTTGGGACTGAACCTTACTCCCCCTCCAGACTGCACTGCCTCCCAAAGAGACGAAAACCATACCACCACCACATAAACAGAACAAGAAACATTCTCCTGTAAAGGAGAGGCAATGTCAGGCACAATCACAGCCAGGTACTACTCACCTGGACCAGGAATAGTACAGACAGGTTCAACCTAAGCATATTTCCCAATGACCAGAGCAATCCCAGACTCTTTTCTCCATTAGTACACTTCACATTCCTCTCTGGGTTAGCTTGGAGGTCTGTCAACCTCAGTGGGTTTTATCTGCTCAGTTCCTTTCCAAGGTACAGGCAGAACAGAACAGGTAGAAAGATTAAATAAAAATGCAACTGAGATTCCTCTTCAGTTCCCTCCCTGTCAGGGCGTAACTGAGTCAGAGACAGGATCAGGTTCTTTGCCTTCCAGTCCAAAAATCCTGCCAAGAGGGTCCCAGAGCAGAGGAAAATCCAAAGTACACAGAAGGGAAGAAAGAGACCAGTGAGTCATCCGTCTAGAAGGAAGGCACAGCCACCTGGACAGGAACAGGAGTGGACAGGTACCTGGACTCCAGCAGGAACTTTGTCCCTTGCAACAAGGCCGCCTGAGCCCAGAGAGACATTTGCAGCTCAAAAATGCAGTCCTAACAGTACCAGCAGCAGCAAGAAAAATTTGCAGCTACCTTCTTGGCATTCATTTTCATTTTGGCAGTTGTGGACACTGCTGAGGCAGGGAAGAAGGAGAAGTCAGGAAAAAAAGAGTGAAAAGGTCTGACTGTGGAGCATGGCAGTGGAGTGTGTGTGTGCCCACCAGTGGAGACTGTCGACTGGGCATCCACGAGGGCACCTGGACCGGAGCTGAGTGTAAACAAACTATGAAGAACAAACCCAGAGATGCAAGATCCCCTGCAACTGGAAAAAGCAATTCAGCATGGAGTGCAAATACCAGTTCCAGGCCTGGAGAGATTCAACTTGAATGCAGTCTTGAAGACCAGAACTGGAAGTTTGAAGCGAGCCCTCCACAATACCAATTGCCAGAAGACTGTCACCATCTCCAAGCCCTGTGGCAAACTGACCAAGTCCAAGCCTCAGGCAGAATCTAAGAAGAAGAAAAAGGAAAGCAAGCAGGAGAAAATGCTGGATTAAAAGATGCTACCTTCTGTGGACTGCAAAAGGGACATCAGCAAACATGATCAGTTAACTATTGCATTTATACATATTGTAGGCTTTTTATTCAAAAATATCTATAGCTTAAGTATTCAGTAGACAAAAACAAAGAGAACAGAAAAATTTTGTAGTAGCATTTTAAAAATGTATACCATAGGGGCTTAAAATAAAGGACTGTAATCCTATCTAGAAAGTTGACTTCTAAATGATAGACAATTGAGGTAAGATTTTGAAGTTATGTGATATTTTACATTACATTTAATTTTTTTTTCTTTTGGCAGCAATTTAAATATTAGGATCATGTAAACAATTTATCTTGTGAGGTAATTTTTTGACCTAGACATTTTTCCCAATTGAGAAAAATATATACTAAACAGAAAAGCATTAAAATGTAATCATTCTATTTGAGGAAAGTATCTTGATTTCTGCCAGTGGATTTTTTTTTAAATTTAGTCAGCAAAATGAGGTGGGGGGAAAGGAAGGCAGAGCATGCTCTAGTTCAATGTTGATTTTTTTTTTTTACAAAAACATATTCAAGGGATCAGCAGTTATCATAATGGCTATGTCACTGAACTCTCATGTAGCTGACCGCGGTTCGAGTCCCGGACCTGGTGGCTTAAACTCACGCTGGGCGCGTGTGCGTGTGTGCCCAAGATCCCGAGAGGAGAATAGAGGAGAAGGGATTGCAACGTGGTCATCCCCCCTGGGGGGTGATTTCTTGCTTTCTATCTCTCTGTCTCTCTGGTGAGAGCACATGCCCTATAGCAAAAAAAAAAAATTCAAAATGTAAATTTTTTTCACTTTGGCAGAAATGTTTGTTTTCTTGATAAAATTATTTTCCCATATGCAGAAAAAATTATTAAGAAAATAAGTGAAGGTAATGCTGAAAAAAAAATGCAACTAAATATAGTAAACATTTCCAAATGGTTCAAGATTTCTATCCTCAAGTTGCTCAAGGTCTGATATGGGAGAAAGGTACTGGAGAAAAAAAAGGCAAAAATAAACACTGATAATACAATGTGATAAATTCCATAATAAATAGTGGAGACCCATAAGAGGGAATTAGATCTAGTGTGGGAGCTAGGGAGGGCATCCCAGAGTAGGTAATATCTGAGCTCAATTTACAAATACCTAGCTGGCTAAAGAGTTGGACATCAGGATTATGGTAGCTATATTTGAAGGATCTTCCAGAAGAAATGGAAATAATATTCAATTTTAAGAAATGGTTAAATACAATATGCTATACCCATACCTACAAATTTGATACAGCTATATCTTTATCACATAGCAAAGCACTTGGCACACTGTAAGCATGCAATGACTATGTGTTGAATTAAAGAATGAATCCAGAGGGAGCAAAAAACAATCACAGAAAAAGGTTAATATCCGTACTATTCAAAGATCTTCTACAACTAAAAAGAAAAAACTATGAACAACAATAATAATAGCTACCAATCCTATGGAGTAGGTTCTATGATTATCTCAATTTCCTAGATAAGAAATCTGAAGCTTAGTGATCCACACAATTACTAAGTAAGATGACTATTAGTCTACTACTTTTTCCTATCAACCCATCCCCCAAATGGGAAAAAAGTAGATCAGGTGATTCAGAAGAGAAATTGGCAAATATGATCAAGAAATATATGAAAAGATATTTTATCTCTTTAATAATAAAATAAAAAAATCAAAGCAACACTGAGCTATCACTTTAGTGCTGATAAGGTAAGATTAACAAAGATTTTAAAAATCAATAATAGCAAATGGTATTGGCAAGTTTGTGAGAAAACAGACATAAACACACACTCTTATAAGTGGTATTAATATAATACCACTGATGGGAATGTATAACACATGTAGAGGGGAAATGGGCATATCAAAATTTTAAGTCTATATACCTTTTGACCTAGGAATTATTTTTAAAGGGTGTCATCCTATAAAGACATTCCCTTTACATCTAAAGATATTTCTTACAATGTTATTCATAACAGAGAGGGGAAATCCCTAGGAATAATCTAAATTTCCATCAATAAGGGAGTTTTAAAATAAATTATAGCACATTCCAATTCCATAATATTGTAACTCCACTGAAGAGCTGAATTTATATGGAAAGACCTCTGGGGCATATTATCATATGGTCAAATGGCAACAAAGGAAACTGAAGACCAATACATAGACTGTGCTCTCATTTTTTTCTCTTTTTATTGGAGAGGGTTTTTTTTTTTTTTTGCTGTAGGGTGCGTGTGCTCGCCAGACAGACAGAGACAGAGAGATAGAAAGCGAGAAATCACCCCCCAGGGGGGATGGTCACGCCGCAATCCCTTCTCCTCCATTCTCCTCTCGGGATCTTGGGCATGCACACACATGCTCCCGGCATGAGTTTAAGCCACCAGGTCCGGGACTCGAACTGTGGTCGACTATGTGGGAGTCCAGCAACATAACCATTATGCTAACTGCTAGTCCCTGTGCTCTCATTTTTATAAATATAATATTAATGTTGATAATTTGCTCCACAGGTTAAATTGATCATTATAATCCTGCTGCCCCAGATTTGAGCAAAAGAGAAGAAAGAGTGAGAAAAAGGGAAGAAAATGAAAAGGTAGTAAAGAGAAGGTAATAGAAAAGAGAAGACAGAGAATTTTTAATTTTTAACTGTACGTTCTGAGAGGGAGAGAAGAGTATAGATTATGGCATCAGATTGCCTGAATTTATAGTTGGGCTCTGGGTAATTATCAGTAAATTATGTTTATGCCTCAGTTTCTTCATCTGTAACATGGGGATAACAATACCTATCTCTTAAGGTATTTAACCTCTTATGAGGTTAAATTAATCCACATAAAACACTTAACAAAGAGTGTGGTACCTAGTAAGCACTCAATCAACTTTAGTTGTTATTTCTTTGTCCCAGGCACTGTGCTGTTTTCTATACACAGTGTTACTGAATTGCTACAACATCTTAGGAAGTAGTCTGTGGAATCTGGGATGTAGTACGTTAGAGCTCATAAGTACAACTGTATTCTAGGTCTGACTCCAGAGCTCTTCCCCCTTTGCAATAGTAGCTTCTGAGTTTTATTGCCCTCCTTTTATAGTTAAGGAAAATAAGAGTTGGAGAAACGATTTTAATCCAAGTGTCCTAGCTCTATATGGACAGTCTGATTCAAAAGTCCTAATGAACTCATTTTACTACCCCAGAGGGAGAAAGGAAAGAAAACAGAGAGGGAAGAACCAGAGCTGGAGGAGCAGGGAGGTGAGAGAGAACTACTTTGGGTCTTATCTCTAACAGGGGCTTGAGCTACCTTTGGGGCTGATGCAGGGCCAGGCCAGCAAAAGGCGGAGTGGGTGGAGCTGAGTCTAGGGGAAGGGATAAATGCCAGGTCCTAACTCATAGCAACCCAGCTGTCGTTCGTTCGTCCTCAGTGCAGGTCAACAGGTAAGAGTTGGTTTCAGCCTGGCTTCCTATCTCTGGTCTGTATGTCTTCTTCAGGGCTGAGTTTCTGGGCAGACAAGATCTAACTTTCCTTTTGTCTATTTTTAAGAATCTCTCTTTGTTATTTTCCTTATTTCTCCCCCTATGTCTCTCCTTACCTTTCCCTGTTTTCAGCTTTGTGTCTTTTCTTGCTTTCACTCCTTTAATAGTTTTTAAGTCCCCTCACTTCATTTCATTGTTCTTTAGCACTTTCTTTCTCTTATTTTCCTTTTGAATTCTCTCTGTATCTTTTCCTCTAAATCTCTCTCTATTCCGCTCTCTGTCTTTTTCTTCAACTCTGTGTCTCTTAGACTGTGTCTTTATGTCCTCCTCTTCCTCTGTTTCTCTATCAAGAAATATGTCTTAATATTTCTTCCTGCAATTTGTCATTCCTCGCTCCTTTTGAATCCCTCTGTTCATTGACTCTGAGCAGAGCTCAATGGATCAGAGCCTTGGGGGCCAGAGCTAGGAGGAAAAACTGAGTGTATATGGGGATGATAAAAACTAAGAATTGGGTAATGAGAGACTTAAGGTAATTAAGAGATAAAAAAATTAGCAGAAATAAGGGGAGGCTGGGAAGAATGTTTCACTGAGACCCTAAGGAAAGTCATTCGCCCTCTGAAAAAAGGGCTTGGCCTGCGAGTTCCACAATTCTTTCAAGTTTTTATTTTGTGGTCTTATAAACTTCTGACTCTAAGAATTTCTGATTCTCTAATTCCAAGTGTCTAAAGTTTTATATGACTCTTCAGTGGTAGGGAGAGGGTGCTAGGAAGGGAAGCAAGAGCTGATGCTTCCAACTCCTAAAGAGATCTGACTACTTCCCCTCCAGATCTATCTGATTCCTGCAAAGCAACCCACAAAAGGGAGAGAGGGGACAAGAAATGCTGCAATGAGTGGTTCTTAGCTCTCTGCTGGGGTAGCGTTAAAGTCGGCTCTTTTGACCTCTGGAACTGCAGATTGGGTGCTGACATGAGAGAGGATTTTAAAAGTACAGGAAAAACCTTTGAGTAATGATCTGTCACTTTGCCTGAAAGTTCATAGTTATCTCTTTTGTTTAAAGCATTGTTTTAAGAAGATCCCTGGCAAGCATTACCACGTAGTGGGTGCATAAGTTGTTAAATGGTAGAATGAATGAATGAATGAATGAATGAATGAATGAATTCTCAACAGTACCTGAAATTCCACTTCAGGGATCTGTTCCTTTGGTAAAAGCATTAGTCACAAAAGGCAAATGTTCTGGAAAGGGGCCTATTACTGCATCAGAGAGGATAAATGCCTAGAATCAGGCCCTCAGTCAAGAAATTATGTAGTAATACTTGAATTAAGGATCCATAGTAATTAAGTTAGTGGTCTCTAGAACTGGATTGCCTAGGTCCAAATCCTGATTCTCCTACTTACTAGCTCTGTGACTTAGACAAGTTATTTAATCTTTTTTGGGCCTCATTGTCCTTATCACAGAGTTGTCATGAGGATTAAGTAAGTCGATGCATGTGAAACATTAACAAAAGGCCCTGGCACAGTGAGGACTCTGTGAGTGTTTGACTATCAGAACCAGATAGGATCTATGAAATTATCTAGTCCAATATCTGTGGATAAACTGATACCCAGAGAGGGGAAGTACATAAACCAGTTCACATAGTAAATTGCAACAGGATTAGGATAAGAATTAGGTCTCTAGCTTTCCAGATCTGGCTTGATATATTCACAATGTGACTTCACCTAGCTATACCTTCACTTTACCTGTGTTAAAAAAAATAACCCAGAACCTGTGATCTTAAATTGTTGAAAATGCCTCCTTGATTCAACTGTTCTTACTCTAGTCTCATGGTAGGTAGTGGGATAGAATGGAAACACAGCCCAAGGTACTTAGAAAGCAAGGTCATAATGATGGCCAGGTACAGTGAGACAGGAAAATTCCAAAAGAGTATCAGAAAAGGATATATCAGGAAAAATTGGAACTGGAGCTTGAAAGCACTGAAGAATCCAACAAATTCCAAAAAATAGTCTGTATTTTCAAAGTATCCTGAGCATATCATTGTCAAAAGTCCCTTAGAGATGATGAACATATTAAACTTCTTTTGTTTTTATACATGAGGAATAGGTAATAGGCCATCATCCCAAGGCAGGACTGGACTCTGCCTTCAGTGTTGGAGGCTTTCCTTCCCACTGCATATTCCAATATTGCTGTCATTATTGTTGCTGATGTTGATGTTGGGAGTAAAGAGTTTACAGGAGCCTGGCTCTGGGCCATCCACCACTTCTCACTATGAATAACTAGGGCCAACCCCAGCCAGATGCTCAGACATGATTCTGGAAAGGGGCTCCTCTTCTCTTCCACACCCTGGTCTCAGCTTGAGGAGTTGTCAGACTCCAAATGATGATAAACTCTAGGAGCTTTATCTATGGTCTGCAGGCTCAGCACTGAGTGCTTTAGCCTTCACAGGCAGGCAAGGAAAGGGAAACTCCTATCTTCAGATATGAGGTAGGCACTAGATTCAAGTCACTACCTTACCATCTGAGGTAGGCATAACTACATCACAACTGTCTGCTGATGAAAGCCAAGACCCAGAGAAGGGAAATGACCTGCCCAAGAACATCCAATAAGTGAGTTGCAGAGATGGAATTTAAACAAGAAAAGCTAACATTTACTGAAAACTTATGTGCTAAGACTATCCTAAAGATTTAACATTGATTATTTCATTTAGTCCATTCAGCAACCCTTCTGTTTTTCTCAATTTCAGAGCCCACATGCCCTGACCCCACATACCAACCCAGTCTGCTATCATAGCCCATGAAAGTTGAGGGAGGATACTCTGCGGTAGAACAAGGGGAAGATATTGCTTTGTGGGGTAGAAGAAGGTTACTAATTCTATGAGATCAGGAAGGGAGGGAGGAAGGGAGGTTGCTATGTGAGAACAGGGCCATAGCTTCTACTGCTAACTTGTCCTTCTCAACATAAGGCTTTATACACAGAGAGTGCTGGTAGATTCCACTTTGTAGACAAAGAGACCTCCTCTCACCTCCTCTCTTTGTCTACCTGTTCTCATCTCTGATAGATTCCACTCAGTAGCTTTCCTAGTAGTGCCAGGACCCTAGACTTTTCACATTCCCCTATATCTCTACCATTGTACTGTCTCTTACCTTGTCTCATCCTTTGATTCTGGCTCTCAAATTTACCCTTTTTCTTTCAATCTGTTTCTTCCTTTTGCTCCCTCTAACTGTCTTTCTCCTGGTATCTTTCAGTCCTTTTTCCTCCCAATCCTTTTCCTCCCCTTTTACCTATCTTTATCCTTGGATTTTGTCTTTTTCTCTTTCTTCTCTTTGTCCCTTAGTATCTCTCTTATCTTCCTCAATAGGACTACATTCCTCTTTTCTTGACTCTTCCTTGTTGCTTAACCCTCCCCAATGTCTAACAGAATTTCCCCTTTATTTTTGTATCTGACTGATTCTGTCTCTGCTGGATTCTCTCCTCTCCTGCTCTTAGTTTTATGAATCTTTGCATATTCCTCTAGGTTCTTGGATATCTCTTGTTTCTTTTGTGTTCTTCTGTCTCTGCCTCTAACCCCTGAATTCTTGTTTCTCTGTCTCTCTCTTTTACTCTCTCTCACTCCTCTCTCTTTGTCATCTCAGACTATCCCCGCCCTTTTGTATTTCTTCTCTATCCTCTGTCTTTCTGGATTAGACATCCTCTCTTTGTCTGTTCTCATCTCCATCCTCTTCCCCTATAGCTTTGATCTCCCTTTCTCCCTCAATTTTTGTTCTTGTAACTCCACCACCACCACACATTTGATCTCTATGTCCCTCTTTTGTCTTTCTTAAGTTTTCTTTTCATCTTTATCTTCCCTACTCCCCCTCTCTTTCCCATTTGAGATCCTATTTGGTCATTAATTTATTTCCAAATTCAACAAATATTTATTGAATGCCTATGTGTCATTTTGTTCCTCTCTTTCTCCTCTGTCTTGGCCTCTACCTCTTTCACTGACCCATAGACTATGTATTTATACCTTGTCTTCCAGCCCTTTTGGATCTTGCTCTTACATCCTCCTCTTACTCTTACATCCTCCTCTTACTCCTTTGGATTTATCCAGGAATAAATCCAAAGATACCAAAATACCAACCTAGTGGCATATAATCTGTAGACAAGGGCTTGCCCTTTCTTCCTGTTCTCTGGATCTCCTTAAGCTGCTACCTATGGACTCAAGCTTCTTCTCCTTCTCTGGATGAGCCTGCATAGGAAAGCACTCTGGCTCAAGCCTTAGGAGCTCTGGTCAATGGTATCACTTCACATTAGCCGGTTGAATTTTCACTTGGTTGAGGACACCATTAGACATATTCTTGGCCTTAACTGTTTATCAAAGGGTTGGTCAACTCTCATTCTGCTATACTCAACCATATTTCAGTGATCTTCATGAATACAGAGTGAGTCAATGGCAGAATCTAGTCTTTCTGACCTCCATTTAGAACTCTTCTTCATTTCTCTGCCTAGTGGTCAGTTTCTTATTTCTTCCTCTCTGATGCCCTATTGGTACATTTTAACATTGAGAAAAAAGTTCCTTTTCTGGAAGGACAATAAAGGCATCTCTAAGGAGGGCAGCAAACTTTGGGATCAAAGATAGGAATGATAGCTTTTGGTCAGGCTTTCATGATGGAATCTCATCTCTTCCACATCTTCTGCAGGACTTCAAGCTCAAGATGGTGACAGCAGCCAGGTTGCTACAGTGCTGCCCAGTGTTTGCCTGGGGTCCCACTGGCCTTCTGAGTAAGGTGGTTAAGACTCACCAGTTCCTGTTTGGTATTGGATGCTGTCCAATCCTTACTACTCAAAAATCAATCTGTTCTCAAATCCACCTTAATGCAGTTAAGGCTGGAGGAGGTAAGAAGAGGCTGATGGCAAAAGGGGAGATTATTTGGGTCCCAGAGACAGGATTCCATGTCATACAGACCATTGTCTAATAAGTTAGAGGGTTCATGTGAAATGGGCCAAGGCAAGATGATCCAGCCTAAAAATATATCCAGGATCTGCATTTTATCCAGATCTCCAGAAAGAGTCCCACTACCATGTTATACTCTAGCCTTGCTGAAACTACTTAAAATTGCCAGAATATTGTCTCAAGATTCTGTATCTTTGTTCCTGTCATATTCTCCTCTCCCATACCCCATATTGGAGTTCTCTCATACATCTAATTCAACACTGAACTTGGCTATTATATCTTCTGTGAAGCCTGCCTAGCTTGTCCAATTTCAGTTCTAGGTCATATCCCCCATCTTTTCTAGATAACTTCTGTCCTCCACACTATCCCAGTACTGTTCACAATGTGTCTTAAATGTGTGCCACTCCCACTAGCTTAGGAGTTCCCTTAGTACAGGGACCATACTCCTCTATCTTGGGTATCTCTTCTATAGCCTGAGATAAGGCTTTGGGATCTAGTAGGTCTCAGTAAGCATTGTTGAACTGGATTTATGGCTAGAAATATACCGCCAATTACTCTTGTCTTTGCATAGATTCTCCATCTTGGGCCAAGGGCCACTGTCCCTTCATGCTGTCAGAACTTCAGAATGGGAAGAGCAAGATTGTGCAGAAGGCGGCCCCAGAAGTCCAGGAAGACGTTAAGGCTTTCAAGACAGGTTATAGTCAAGTTTTACCTTATTCAGTTGCTACTCATAATGCTCAAACCAACGTCATCAAATTCCTGAGCTAGGATGATCTAAGGGCAGCCAGTACATATTTCATGCAGGAAAGTCCAGTATTTTCCAGGGAAGCCATGGTAGGCAGTAGTGCACCTTTCCCAGCAACACACTTACATGCACAGGCTCCTGTAACTTTTAGCCTTTAATCAAAAATGAGCTCTCTAGAGTTCTCCTTTCACCTGATTGTCTCAGGTGGCCCAATGTGTTCCAGTGGGCTAGAGTTCTCTACTTAAGCAAGACTACTCTATGAGAATATGGGTTCTTATGAAAGAAAGGGCTAGGAATAGGTACATCCTTTAGAAGGGTGTGGAGCTCCAGGTCAATTCAACTGGTGCAGACTACCCAAGATAATAACATTTGAAAGACAGTCATGCTGCTGATATCTTTCATAGGTCTTTTTGGGATATCACCAAGGACAAAAATTTCTAAACTGAAATTTATTTATGATTAGAAAACTAGGTACACTCTCCTGCATCCTCTACCTTCTAAGTGCAGGACTTGGAATGGCTGCTACAATTACCTCACTCAAGGGAAAAATCTATTTAGTAGGGCAAAGTGCAACTGACGTTATGGGTGGTTTCCTGACATTATAGACATCTCTAGGCAGATGAGTAGAAGCTCACGTTTCAGAAGACTTCTCTCTGTAGAAGACTTCCATACTTTATAAACTTGAATTTTCAAATATTATGTTGCACTTAAAGAGGACAATATATGCTTTTTTTCTCTCCCTCCTCTCTTCATGGCCAACAAATCCTACACTCCTTCTCAGACCTGCCCACCTTCCTGGCATCAACTAGCCTAAGCAAAACATTCCCAAGTTCCCACGAACCAGAACAGAATTCTGGGAATGTCACCCACCTGATTCAGGACAACATGACTGGTGAGTTTCCTAAGGTAGAAATAAGGGGGCTCGGAAAAGTGAAGGAGTGTTGAAAGGCTTCTGACAGAAGAGAAAAGAGGATAAAGGGGGTTTGAAACTCAAAGGAATCTGAATTTAAATTTTAGTGCTGACACTTGCTGCATCTGTGCGCTTTGGTAAGTAATTCACTTCTCTTCAGTCTCACGCAAGGGAAAAATCTATTTAGTAGGGCAAAGTGCAACTGACGTTATGGGTGGTTTCCTGACATTATAGACATCTCTAGGCAGATGAGTAGAAGCTCACGTTTCAGAAGACTTCTCTCTGTAGAAGACTTCCATACTTTATAAACTTGAATTTTCAAATATTATGTTGCACTTAAAGAGGACAATATATGCTTTTTTTCTCTCCCTCCTCTCTTCATGGCCAACAAATCCTACACTCCTTCTCAGACCTGCCCACCTTCCTGGCATCAACTAGCCTAAGCAAAACATTCCCAAGTTCCCACGAACCAGAACAGAATTCTGGGAATGTCACCCACCTGATTCAGGACAACATGACTGGTGAGTTTCCTAAGGTAGAAATAAGGGGGCTCGGAAAAGTGAAGGAGTGTTGAAAGGCTTCTGACAGAAGAGAAAAGAGGATAAAGGGGGTTTGAAACTCAAAGGAATCTGAATTTAAATTTTAGTGCTGACACTTGCTGCATCTGTGCGCTTTGGTAAGTAATTCACTTCTCTTCAGTGGGATTTTAACACCTATCTCAACAAGTTATCATGAGGAGAAAATAAAGTTAACATTTATAGAAGTGTGTCTAGCTTGTTAAGATGTCTCATTAAATATTAGGTTTATTCCCATTATTTCCTCTCCATGTTTCCCTCAAAAACTCTCATCCTTCACAGAGAGACTTTTTCCCTTTCTTGTATGTATTCATTTGTCGTAATGGTATTTCCTTTATTTTTCTAATATAAAAGGAATATGATTCACCATAAAATACCTTTCAACAGGTACAGGAATATATGAAGGAAATTTAAGTCATTCAGAGTTCCAACATCCACCATTAACTTTTTGTTACATTTTCTCCCAGATATTTCCCCACATTTAAACACACACACAAATGCACACTCACACACTCCATCCTCCCCATCATACATGCTTTTATTAGAAATTTTATCTTTTTCTACCTGGAGTTTGTTATGCTGCTTTGTTCACTTAAAAATATTTTGTGGGCATCATTCCATGTCATAAACATGAGTTGCATGATACTTGTTAATGGTTGGAGTGTGTTCTGTAGTATGGATACAACATCATTCAGTTAAGCACCTATAATTTAGATTTTTTTCCCAGTGTTTTTCTTTTTTATGACAGAGCAAGTATGTGTGCACATGACAGAGAACATGTGAGAAAGAGTTAGAGAAAGAGAGAGAGAGAGACAGATTAGTTAGTACTCTTCACATGGTCTGGTCATGCCACAATCCCCTTCTCTGAGTTCTCCAGCCCATTGGATCTTGGACACTCACACATGTGCCTATCATGTTTCATGTTGGTCAGGCTGGAGATTTGAACCATGGTTACCAAGTGGGATCTGGCTTTTCTTGAGCAGTTCATTGCTGCTCCACCATAGAACCAATCTTCTATTTTTTGTATAATTTTATTGTAGGTTGTATTTTAGTTTTGCAAACATATAAATGTCCCTAAGGAAAATGTATAGCATTACTTAATGCATACACATATATATTCACCTTTTAAAAAATATAGGAGGGTCAGCTAGTAGCATTGTGGTTGGAGCAGCTCGATCCCACATGGCCGACTGAGTGGTTGAATTCCAGACCCAGCACCTTGAAAACTATGCTGGACGCATGTGTTTGTGTGCTCAAAATACTAAGGAGGAGCTAGAAGGGAAAGGATTGTGATGCAGCTATATCCCCTAGGGGGTGACCGGGGTGATCTCTCACTTCCCCTCTCTCTCTGTCTCTCTCTGGTAAGCATACATGTCCTATGGCAACAATCTAAAAATAAAGGACCAGCAGATGACGTAATGGTTACGTTGCTGGACTCCCACATAGTGGACTGTGGTTTGAGTCCCAGGCCTGGAGGTTAAAATTCTCACCAGGTGCATGTGCATGCATGCCCAAGATCCTGAGAGAAGAATAGAGGAAAAGGCGTGACCATCCCCCTTGAGGAGTAATTTCTCACTTTCTGTCTCTTTGTCTCTCTCTCTCTCTCTGTCTCTCCAGTGCCCTATAGCAAAAATCTCTCTCAAAAAAAAAAAAGTCTAAAAAGAAAAATAAAGTTCCTAGGGGAGGGCCTTACATGTATCAGACATACATTATTTGTTGGAAATAATAATATAATTAAATATTACCTATACATTATTACTACTACTACTATTATTATAGTAGCAATACTACTACTATTACTGTGTGCCAGAGGTTAGTTTGGGCGTACTATATGTTTTTTGTCATAAAATACAACTCTACGAAGGAGGTAATTATTAGCCCCCTTCTGTAGATGAGGAAATTAAAAGAGACAATTCATGACTTGCTCAAGGCCACACCACTAGGAAGTGGCAGAGATATGACTATATAATAGATCTGTTGATACTTCTTACACAGAGACTGGAAGTAGTGATTCCAGTAAAGAAATTACCACAGTAACTCCAGGCAGAGACATGAGGCCATGCCAAAGGTAGAAAGCCTGAATGAATCTGTGAGTAAGAAAAGGGTTAGTTAAATATAGTAGAATGTAATGTGGTCAAGTAAGCCAATACTGAGTAGATAACTGAATAGATGTGGAGGCACAGGAAGCAGGTCACCACATCATGATACTAGAACCATATGAGAGGTCCAAGTTCAGCTCTTGAGTCAATCTAAACATGCCAGGTGAACCTGAGTGCCCACAATTCCTAGATGGCTAGGAGGCTGGGTATCGAAATGTGGCGAGACCTTGTCAAAAGTATCTCTCTCTCTTTTTCTCTCTTTCATGAAAGAAATAAGTGAAATTAATTTTTGAAAAATCAACAGCATGGATAAAATATAGACTATCTAGGAAGAGATTTATAATAAACTCTTTTTATCCCCATCTCTACTCCTGCAGGAACCCATGCCTTTGGTTATGACCAGTTTTTCAGGGACAAGATCATGGAAAAGAAACAGGACCACACCTATCGTGTCTTCAAGACTGTGAACCGCTGGGCTGACGCATACCCCTTTGCTCAACACTTCTCTGAAGAATTTATGCCTTCAAAGGATGTGTCTGTCTGGTGCAGTAATGACTACCTGGGCATGAGCCGGCACCCTCAGGTCTTGGAGGCTACACAGTGAGTAGTAGCATCTCAGCCATGAGTTGTAGGGACATATCCAAAGATCCAAAGCCACACACAGAAGAAAGAGGCAGAGCAGCAATAGAAATCTGGATTCCACTGCTACTCCTTTTGTCCAAGGTCCTCCAGCATTTCTATTCCTTGGATATAAACTAAGTCAGTCAATACACCATGTTTTCTAAACTTTCAAGCATCTAGTGATATGGAGGAAAGGAAAGAAACCAAGTGAGGCCTTCTTTCCATGAACTATTAATCTGGCTGCAGAATGAGCATTGCTAAAGATAGTATGTGACCTTCTCTAGGTCTTCCAAATTGCTTAAGGTCAGCCTCACTTCTCCTTCCATTCCTGAGTACCTCCAGCCCTAGAAAAAGGACCTATGTTTCCCTCTCTTCCCTCTACTTGGTCATCTAGAACACAGTTCATACAGAATTGCTGCCAATATTGTCTCCTCACTCTCCACCCCCCGCAATGAAGGAAGGAAAATCTACCCAATTCCTCAGTGCCTGATAAAGGTTTTTCTTTTCCTCTCCTGTTTTCTCCTGGCCAGGGAGACACTGCAGCGTCATGGAGCTGGAGCTGGTGGCACTCGCAATATCTCAGGCACCAGTAAGTTTCATGTGGAATTGGAGCAAGAGTTGGCTGAGCTGCACCAGAAAGATTCAGCCCTGCTTTTCTCCTCCTGTTTTGTGGCAAATGACTCTACTCTTTTCACTTTGGCCAAGACCCTGCCAGGTAAGCCCAAAGCCTGAGGATTTTTCAGGGCTGGTGTCCTGTAATAAAGCATCCAGTCTCTCTGCTTCCATCAATCCTTTCCTCTATTCTGAGTTAACTTACTTCCATTTTCTTTTTCTTACCCACCTTAGATACCCTCCACACTGGATGATTATATCTCTCTGTTTTATCCCCTTCTGCACCTAGCTGAGGACAGCTACAGAGGAACATCACTCAACCTCACAGGAGGGTAGCACCATAAATTCATCATATTCTAAGCCAACTTACAACACTGTAGTCCTTTTATGCCTCCTCAGAAGCTTTTCAAACCTTCCCTCTTCTAAAACCTCTACTTCTTTCACTCTTAGCAAGTACACTCACATATTACTCCATAAAGGAAAACAGAAGTCACCAGACAGGATCTCCTTATTATTGCCACCAAACCTACAGAGTTATCTTTGTTCACATATGCTTCCCCATTCTTTCCTTTTACAATGGAAAGCATGTCTCTCCTGTTGCCTAAAGTCAATCTTTTTACCTATACATTGTATCCCATATTTTCACTCTCCCACTCTCCATCTCTCCATTCAGTCTTCACCTCATATGCTTTGTATCTATCACAATCCCAACTGAGGATGAATACAAATCTTCACTTTCCCTATATCAAGCCTGGGTTCATACAATTGCTCAGTCAGGAGTCATTAAAATTCATAATTTCTGCCCTTTGCTGGATCCTTTTTGTTATCTGGAAATCTTATTTACTCTGTCAGTTCTCCAAGTCTCTGGGGCAGTTTTGACAAATGCTTATTCTTCTGAGCCTTCCCTCATCTCCTTACTACCCTCATCTTCAACAAATGACTTCACCACTTGCTTCACTAAAAATGGAAGATACCAGACAGCAATGTCTCTGATTCCTAGCCACAAAGTACGTATAAAAGCACAAGCATCACCACATGTTCTTATCACCCCTTCTCTCATCATAGTGAAAGAAATATCCTTTAAACTGTTGACTAATCCTTCCACTGGTGCTCTGTGTCCTACTCCTCTCTACCTCCTTAGGAACTGTGTTCTTTTCCTCTCTCCTGTACCTTCAGCTTTTCTCTTTCTTCCCCTCTTTTGATTTTAAAAAAGAAACATGTTCAAGTCTCGTGCATTTTAAAAAAAATCCATTGCCTCAACCCTTTCTCATTCTCTAGCTACTGCCTTATCTCACTCGTCCCTATAACAGGCAAACTGTTTGAAAGAAGTCTACCCACTAACTATCTACTTCCTCACATCCTGCAGATGCTTCAGCACACTATAATTACCACCACTACTTCTGGAAACTTCTTACAAGGTTGCCCATAACACTCAACTAAACCTGGCAACTTTAGAATCATTTTTTAATCAACTTCTCCTCTACCATTAAAATTCAATTTCTTTCCATCTTCTCTACCCTATTCTAACTAGAGTAACATTATTTCCTTGGCTTCACCTTTACCCTCTACAATCTATTCTGCACAGAAGTTAGAATGATGTTTAAAAATGCAAACCTATTATTGTCACTCCATGGGTCAAAACTCCTTAATAGACCCCCATTGCCTTTAGAACCAAATACAGACTTCTATTTGTTTATTTTTTTGTCAGAGGGTGTATGCATTTTCCAGAGAGAAAAAAAGAGAGAGCAAGAGGAAGAAAGCACCCCCTAAGGCGGTGTTGTCAGGCTATAATCCCTTCTCTTCCATTTCTCCATCCTGTTAAAATGTTGGACACACATGGACATGTGCCTGGAGTGTTTCAAGTTGCCAGAGCCAGGATTCAAACTTCATAGTCATTTATGTAGAGTCCAACTCCCTTAATCATTAGGCTATGGGGCCAGCCTTACTTATCATGGCTTCTAAAGCTCCCAATAATCTGGCTTCTAACATACCTCTTCAACTTTAGCTTTTGCTACCCCTCCTTTCATTCTCATTCAGTAATACACTCATGCATATACTTATTCATCCACTTACAAATCAGCTACTTGTTTATTCATTCAAGAAATATTCACTTATTATCTACTGTACACTTAGTCTTATACTGGTTATCAGATACAGAAAGATAAAAAGATGCTATTTATACTTTCCAGAAACTTCCCATCTACTTGTGCTTCAAGGCATGTCCTCAAAGAAGACATGAATACTTTACTCAAATAGAAGGTCTCTCTTATTCTTATGAGAAGTCACAGTTCTTTGATGTCAGTTCAATTTAGGGGGTCCAGTAACAACTCTCTCCAACAATTACCCATCCTCACCTGCCCTCCCAGTATTTCCTCCCCCCCCCCAAAAAAAAAAAAACACTACATTCTTTAGGTCTAGAGAAAGGCATTCCCCTCTCTAGACCATAGTTTTCTCAACTGTACAGAATATAGGCTGGATTTCATAGTCACTAATGGCCCTTACAGCTCTTAACCTGTCATGAGATTATGATTTCAATAATGAAAGCCTGAGAAGTATCCCTCCCTATACCCAACAGCAGATGGATGCTACCTGGAACAGAAAGGATTTCATTCAGACAAGGAAAAATCTAGCATCAGTCCAAATCAACAAACATTCCCTGAGATAAAACCCTTTCCAAGTTTGATCTTACATATCAATAAGAAGAAACCTAAGTCTTATCCTCACAAAACTCTAAATTGTTCTGGAAAATTAATTTTTCTCCATTCCAAGACACAAAAGGCCAGATCAAGGTCAGAAATGACTGGAAGGAGGGAGGAGTAAAAGGGTCAGATTTTCAGGCTGGGAGAGTTGTTCCAAGAGAGGAAGAGGTATCACAAAGGCTTCCAGAGGAGGAGAAAGGAGAGTGTTGCTTTCAAAGGGAAGAGAGGTTGAATATCTTGCCCTGCCAGGTCAGACTTGAAGGTTAAAGTGAGAGTACTTGGACAGAAGCTTAAGAGTTATCTATCTTGTTCCTCAGGGTGTGAGATTTACTCAGATGCAGGCAATCATGCTTCCATGATCCAAGGTATCCGCAACAGTGGAGCAGCTAAGTTTGTCTTCAGGCACAATGACCCTGATCACCTGAAGAAGCTTCTAGAGAAGTCCAACCCGAAGACACCCAAAATTGTGGCCTTTGAGACTGTTCACTCTATGGATGGTATGTTTATGTGTGACTGAGTACATGTAGTATTGGAATCACAAAAAAATGTAATGATATTAATAACTTTGAATAGTTATAGAGTGGTTATGGTGTATGAAGCAAAATTATTATTTCATATATATTGGGTTGTTGGAAAAGTTGTGACATTTTTGTTTAGAAACATACACCATGACTTTTCCGACAACCCAATATTAATTTACTTAACCTCCTACACAGCAATTCTGAGGTAGGTACCAATTTTTCCAGTTGACATTTACACACTGTATATCTTTACAGTGGGTGTCAATTGTTTTTTAACTTGAGGAAATTGAGACATAAATAAGTACACTTATTTGTTCAAGGTCACACAGCTGGTAAATACCAAAGAATGAAGGCAGCTATTACACTCATCTTACAAATAAAGAAACTAATGTTCATAGATGACATCTAATTTTGGGGGGGTAGCTCAGTAAACTAGTGCTAAAGAGAGTCTTTTCACCCCAGGACATAACACTCCATTTTATTCACACCACACTCCCTGTGTTATAAATGATATGTAAATAAATCATCCCAATGCCTGGCTTCTACAGTGGAAAATTTCATAAATTTAGGACTAATTTTTCATAGGGCGGGTGCCACCACACCCAATTTAGGACTATTTTTCAAAGTCCAGTATGAAACACTGGAATCAAAATAGGCTTTCAAATCAAACAGATATGGGTTCAGATCAAACCTTTGACACTTAAATAACCATATGACCTTGGGAAACTCTGAGCATTGATTTTGTTCAAAGTAAAATAGCCAGTTGCAAGAACTAGAGATAAGTCATTCCATTTATTATGCTTTAATATAAATAAATTACTTTTAACCTACTATGTCCTTTACTCTCCCAACTGAAACAATGCTCAAAGCTTTCTACTGCTATTCTGCCCTAGTGAGCAGAAATTGTGTATCTTACAATTATGCAACTAGGCTCTGATACCAGACTATCCAAGTTCAAATCTCAGCATGAAATCTTACTAACTTGGGCAAGTTTCTTAATTGATTTGTGTTTCAGTGCCTTTATTGGCAAAATGGTAGTGGTAGTAGAATAACTGTGAGAAAATAAGTGAGTTAATGTATGTAAAAAAATTACTGTTATGTCCATTTTCAGATTTCTATAACTAGAAATAAAGTAAAACTATCCCATTTATATATTTATACCACTGTGGCTATATGAATTAATTATTTCTCAAGTAAAAGGCATGTTGAGACCATTCTACTTCCTTACATTTGCAAATAATGGTTCCTTATTTTTTTTTCCTGGAAACTCTGCCTAAACTGTCAATCCGAGGACTGAATTTCTCCCACTAAAATGATGCTTAAACCATCATACTGTCTCTTTGTCTCAGGCTCTCTCTTCTACAGTTGGCTCCCTTCAGGTTGTCCTCCAGTTATATCATCCTAGACCCCCTATTTCCATCTGAAGAAGTTTCTTCTGTATTTCAACTCCCTGTTTCAAGTTTCCAGGGAGTACTAAAGGATGGGGACTGGCAGGAGATGTGGGTGCATTTATATGCAAAGTGATCACAAAGTCTGTCTATGTATGAAATTCTCATACATCTGGAGACCTCATAAACAATTATCAGCATAGACAATGTCTAGAATAAAATGGAAAAAAAATGGTAAATCAAAATGGAAAAGGGAGACAATATGGATTACATATAATTGGCTTTCATTTGCTAATATTGAGACTGAGCTTGTGGGAAGGGGCCTCAGGAACTGCACTGACAGTGAGAAAGGAGAAATATATTCCCAGAGAGAGAGAAAAGACAGGTGAATGCACAAAGAAACTCAGGAGACACAGGGGTGGGGTACAGAGAAAAAAAGTGTGAAGTAGAGAAATAGAGAGGCAGACAAAAAGGGACACAAACAGTAAAGAAGTAAGGCAGGAAAGTGGGGAAGGAAGAGCAAAGAGAGAAGAGAGAGGAGAGGAGAGAGAAAAACACACAGAAAAGTAGAGACACAAAAACAAAATGGAAATAGACACAAAAAGAGAGATAGTGACAGAAATCTAGAAAGTTAGAAACAGAGAATAAAGAATAAAGATGTTGGGACCAGCAGTTAGAGTAATGGCTATGTCGCTGGACTCCCATGTAGTCGACTGGTGCTGATTGCGTCCTGGAATGGTGGCTTAAACTCACACTGGGCGCATATGCATGCATGCCCAAGATCCTGAGAGGAGAATGGAGGAGAAGGGATTGTGGTGTGGCCACCCCCCCCCCGGGGGGGGGATTTCTTGCTTTCTATCTCTCTGTCTCTCTCTGTCTTTCTAGCGAGTGCACACGTCCTATAGCAAAAACCCCCAAAAAAAAAAAGAATAAAGATGTTGACAGGGTTGTCAACAGCACTTGGCCAAGGGGATGATTGGGATCTAAATCAGGACTACATTAACTTGGAGCAAAAGGTGGTTTTTCTTTGAGAGATTTTTTTATTTTCACTATAGGGCGCATGCACTCGGCAGACAGACAGAGACATAGAGACAGAAAGCGGGAAATCACCCCCCAAGGGGGATGGTCATGCCACAATCCCTTCTCCTCCATTCTCCTCTCGGGATCTTGGGCACGCACGCACACGCGCCCGGCGTGAGTTTTAAGCCACTGAGTCCAGGACGCGAACTGCAGTCAACTACGTGGGAATCCAGCAACATAGCCATTACTCTAACTGCTGGTTCCCAAAAGGTGATTTTTTTCCATTTATTTTTTAAAAATACAGAGTAGTAAAAACTCTAGATGGATATACACAGACTTCCACAAACAAAGCAAACAACAACCCTATCCCTCAAAAAAAAAAAAAAAAAATGAAGGCAGAGAGAGGCTTGCAAAATCATCCAGATGAAGTAAAAATAGAAAGAGTCAAACCTTCATCCTAGGCTGGGGAAAACACAAACACATACGCACACACACACTCTCTCACACACCTGGGATGGGGGTGGGTTTCAAACAGCTGATGCGTATAAAGAGATTTGAAACAGTCCCAAGTAAAGGTGTATGCCTTTGTCACTCTCTACAACACACTTTTTCAAACTAAAATAGGTGTGAATGGGAAATTCTACACTAAAGATGGAGCTGGGAGAAGGTAATGGTCTCCTACCTCTACTCCTTGGCTTTTCTCAGGTGCCATCTCTCCCCTAGAGGAGCTGTGTGATGTAGCCCACCAATATGGGGCCCTGACATTCGTGGATGAGGTCCATGCTGTAGGACTGTATGGGTCCAGGGGTGCTGGGATTGGGGAGCGTGATGGAATTATGCACAAGATTGACATCATCTCTGGAACTCTTGGTGAGTGAATGTCTTTGGCCTCCCTGACATACAATGCAGAGGACCCAAGATACTTCTTTTCCCGTGCTTCAGGAGTTGTTTGGAATGAACTCACAGCCCTAGGTTGCTGTCCTGCTGGATCCCTTCCTTTTATTCCCATCACAGTGCAGAGTTGCTGAGAAAGTCTGAGAGGTTTTTTTTTTTTTTTTTTTTTTTTAGAGTTTTTTTTTATAGG